CTTATTCAGATTGGATTGAACCTAAATCCGACTCGTTAAACCATTTTGACACCCCTATTGGCAGATCGGTTTGGGTTTAACTGAAAGTTGACTCGACCTAATTAATTAATTCCCTTCCTAATTAATTCAATCCCTTTACTATATGGGTCAAAGTCTTTGACCCGAACCCGACTCAACTCTAATCCGTCTAACTCATTATTATATGACTGATATAATATTTTGGATTAACATAACTCAATTGACTTTAATATGACTAATTTAATCCAATAAATTATATGCTTATGCCTATCTAATTCTTCAAAACCAGAACCTGAATAGTAAAATGGTCAATTTCAAGCAGATTTTTGGTTATTCGGATTACTCGAATCCGGCCCAAATAATAACCAGGCAAACAAATCCAACCCGAATAATAATAGTATCAACAAAAATTCAAAATTTTCAAATTAAATTCATATTAAATTATTTATTAAACCCCCTAAACCTAATATTTATTTTATTTATAGTAATAATGGATAAGATTTATAGATTTCGTGTGCTCGGCACATACTCCCTTAGCAGAACAGTCAGATCTCTCCATAGACTATCGCTACAGACAACGAGAGAACAATAACGCAAAAACATTATTAGCTCTCCTATTCTCCTTAAATTGACATTTTGAGAAGCTGAATGCGTCTGAAACACATTTGTTTGATTTTTATGGTGACTTTTAATTTGCTCTGTCATTTTCTTCGATAAGCGTCAAAATAGTCGCAGAAAATAATTGTAGTGGTAATGCTTCGATTGCTGGCTAAGGGTTCCTTTTAGGCGACTATAGTTTATTATAAAATGATTAATTAAATTATTGTGAAAAATTAATTTTATAAAAATATTCTTAAACATATTTTGGAGTTGTCTTATTTGAATCCTCGAAGATTCGGCTCGAAATCTAGATTTTAATTTAAGTCAACAAACTCTAAATTTAAATGTAGTTGAACTTCGAATTTGATGAAATCGTTCATCTTACGGTGGGTTTCTTACTATTTTTTAAAGTTGTTGTTGAAAAAGTAATATTTTAAGGCTTCGTTTGGGATAATTTTTTTAGTTCTTTCTAAATCAGATATCTAGTACAATTAATTAAAAAAAAAAAATAAAAAGATGTTTTATAAATCAATATGTAAGTTGTACCAAATTAAGCCTAAAATTATTATAGAAAACAACTCCATAGTAAAAATTTTCTTTTTGAAAACATAAATTTTTTTTTGACAAAATAAAAATTATTTTTACATAAGAAAATTGTTCCAAACGATGCCTTACTCTTATAAAGAGTTCAATAACATTACCCGCTTACAAATATTTTCAATATATATATATATATATATTAACATAAACTGAAAATATATTAATAAAGAGTCCACGGTTACAGACACAATAAATGACATAACAAAACCCAACAGAGAAAGGAGAAGACAAAATACAGCCAAATACGGGGCTCAGTATAAGAATTGCCGAGACTACCAGCACCCCAGAAATCTGGCACGGACCATCCAAAAGGAAACAGCGACTGAACCAATGGTTGCCACACGCAGACCAAAGGGATGCGAGCCCCAGCCACATCACAGCCCAAACACCGCATCGAACCAAAACCAATAAACAAAGCAACACTATCACTGAGAGAAAATAGAAATTTCGTGTAACACCAAACAAAGGCAGTGCCTCTTTGGTGGATTCTCTGAGTTTGGATTGAATTTTTTAGTCTGCTTCTTTTTTGGTTTTACCCTAGGTCCGGAAAATTTACGAATCGTCCTTCGCTGGAAGCCATTAGGAAATTTTTTTCAACCTAAATGGAGAACCAGGGGAGGTGTCTGTCCAGTTCTTAAAACAGGAATTGTTCTGATTAAATTTTTCAATATTGGACTATTTGTCGGGTTGCCATCGATTCGTATTCATTGCAACAATTAATACTTTTCAATGAATAATGATTTGTGGTCTCATACATTAATGTGGAACCGAAATCTCCTGTAGCTACCGTGTTTGGATTCCTTTACTAATATTGGCCATTTTGTTTGCTCCTTTACACGATCTTGATGGGTGTAGGTAGTGATTTTGGGAACCCTTAAAACTGATGAACCGCGATTTACTGGTTCGCAGCCCCCTGTAGCGAGAGTTTTGGTTGAATCAATGGATCTGTGGGTCTTAAAAAGTTTCTGAGAAATCTGGGTTGTGCACCGGAGTTTCAGGCTATGGTTCAGTCGGGTTGTTTTGAAGATTTGCGGATATATTGTATTTCATATTGTTCTATCTTGTTCTTTAGGTCATTTCGAAAACTGGTTTGGCAATTTTTTCTTTTCCAACTCTCATCCTTATTCTTCCGCTGCTGGTTTGGGGGTTGGAAGGATTTCGGTGTTAGGAGTTTGTGTTAGCGGTAAATGAAGTCTGTGTTGTTGTTTGCCCATGGCTTGTTCTTCTGGTTTTTACTGAGAATAAATGTGATTCTCTCTCTAAATTGTTCCTCATTCTAATTCTTGTGGTGAATGTTTGGGAGGGATTACTGTTATTTGTTGCGAATTCATTTTACCGGATGCTTTGGTTATGAGCGTCGCATCCCTGTTTGCTGAAGAGATGTTGATTACGTTATTTGGATGGTGTTATCTTGATGTTGTGTAGTATGAATGGTAGTGGGGCGGTCGTTGGGGTAGAAGTTTTTCTGGTGGTGTCAACTATGGTTTTGTCTCCTAATGCTATTCCTTTTACTCCTCTTGAGGTATTTGCCGGTGATGTTGGTTGGTAATTTGGGTTTTAGACCAGAGTGTTGCTGGGGTTTCCCAGTCTGTGGATGTTCCCGAATTCAATGTTCCTGTATCCGATTCTGTTTCGCGAGTGGTGTTGGGTTGGATGTTTTCCGTTGAGAATGTGAATATTTCTGCTGATTGTGGAGGATATCGTGTGAAAATTAATTCGGTTTGCTCAAAATTTTTGTTAGTGCGTTCCTTGTTAATGTGGTGGGTTACAAACTATGACTAATCGTTTGGGGGGTTTTCTGGTAGGATCTTGGTTGGCCAGATGAATTGGCTAGAGCTTTCATTCTATTGAATTCGGGATCTGATTTTTTGCGGACGCGTGTGTTGTTTCCTTAAATTTTTCATGTGGTGGGTCGGTTCCGTGGCATTCCTGGAATTATTTTTCTTTGGTTCTTATGTGGCGGCTTCTGTGCTCATCGGGTAGATATTATTTCGTGCAGCTTTTCGTGGTAGGGGGGGAAGGTGAGATTATATTATATATATAATATATTAATAGTATATATACTAATATTAAAGATAACATAGTAATGGTTTCTATACATTTTAATGTCAAAATGAATAGATATATAATTAAAATAAATGTAAAATAAAAATAGAAAAATACTAAAAGATTGATCTATGTTGGTGTTTTCTATTTTTTAAGGCTTTGTTTTATTTACAAATAATTATCTTACAATTTTGATCACTTTTTTTCATGCTAAGACAAAATATAAGAAAATATTTTGATATAATTATTATTTTTTTATTGAGTCACTCTTCTTTATAACATATCACACAAACAAATATATTAAAAACGTGTTACTTTTGTGAGAAACAAAAAATATATTTCTAGATTGCATGATTTATTTTAATTTTAGCATATGAAGCCATATTATTAAAATTTTAATTAAAAAATTAAATAGAAGAAAAAGTGACTATTTTTGCAATTTATATTTTTATTTTTGTGAAATTTACATATATATTATGCAATTTTTATATATTTATATATCTATCATTTAAACTTTGATATTTAATTATATAATATTTAAATATTTAAATTACAAAAATTATTAATATTAACTTATCTAAAGTAAAATATATCTTTTTCTACATATATTTTAGTATGATCGAGATGCTAAATATTCTATAAATAAAATTTATAAATAAATATTAAATTTTAAGTATTATATATTTAAATATATATAAAAATTATGAGATATGTTTGTAAATTTCTATTTTTTTTATTTAAGTAGCAACGACAAAATATATATTTTTTTATTTTATAAAGAATTAAATTTTCTTAAAAATATTTCTCATATTATATATATATAGAAAATAAAAAAACAGATGCAAGAGTGCGTGACCCGCCCGCATTTATTTGTCACATAAATCCAAAAACTTAGGCTGTGTTATCCATAGCTTCATCTTCACGAAACAAATAATCCGAGAGAGAGAGAGAGAGAAACGCAAAATACAATAATTCCCAACTCATATAAGACTGGCTTAATAGATAAAAAATAATATTTTTAATTTATAAGTAATTATATTAATTATATAAAATAAATTAATATAACTCACAAATTCCTAAATTTCTCATTATCAACCTAATTATAATTATTTTATTTAATTGTTCCTCAATCTACAAAAAAAACTAAATAAATATATTTATCTTATATATCCTTTAAATCAAATATAGCCTTGAATAACATAAAAAGAGTATAGAAAATTCATTATTTATTTATTTTATTCTAATTTGTAATAAATGCACATAAATTTATTTATTTTTCACATTAAAAAATTATCACCAACTAATTTAAATGTAAAAAGAAATTCACAAATATTTAACTTCAATGGCATTTTTCGAGTTATTTTTCTTATTTGTTAAGGAAAAATAATCTCATCACAAATGTTAAATCAATTATTTCTCATAAATTTATTCACTTTAGTACAACAATTTTTTTTATTCATTATTTTATCTGGTTTGAAGTTACAACTTCAGAAATAAAATATTATTGGGGTTTTATTTATGATGACTTTTTTACTGGTTCTTAAAATAATTTTAAATAAAAAAAATTTAATTTTTATACTAAAAAATTATTTTATGAAGCAATAAAAAAATTATCACAAATGAAATTTAAATATAAGAAAAAAATCCTATCAGGATACAATGGAGCTCAAATTCTTTTATTTATTTTTCATAAATAAGTTAATAAAGAGTTTTTCATATAATTTGTGCTCAGGATAGGCTTAAGAATTATTAGATATGCTTTAAATAAGTGATACATAAGAAGAAATGCATTACACTAATCTCAAAGCATATCAAAATTTTAGAAAATTTTAAAATTCATACTAATGAATATATATGCTGACATAATTTGATCAATTAAGCTTCAGATTGAATCTCCTCCAACCCCATCTCCTCCATCTTCTTCCCCTCACGGCACTTACAGCTCTGATCAACCGCAGCTCCAATCTTCCTCGCAACGATCACAGAGTTAATAACTTCATCATCGGGATGATAAACTGATAAAACCTCAAAGCCTTTGAGATCTGCAGGCTCCACTACTGGATACAAGAACATTCTCGCTCCATGAGCGCTTCTGACCACCAGCATTGCTCCTGGCGCCATATGCCTCGACAAGTGCTCAATCACTCCCACCTTTTGCTCTTTCTCCAACCCAACTAAGGCTGCTAGGAACACCACTCCGTAGCTCCGAAGACGGTCGCCGATCGCAGAGGCGTCGGCGGTTATGAACTCCATGCGGGCAGCGAGAGAATTGTCGTTGGCGACGAGAGCAGAGGCCTTGGCGGTGGCGGAAGGGTCGATGTCGAAGTTGTGGAAGGTGGAGGAAGGGAAGTGGCGTGAAGCGAGGATTATGGAGGAGAGAGGGAGGGGGCCGGAGCCGAGGAAGGCGATGAGAGGAGGGGGCTGGAGGAGGTGGGAGAAAAGGAGGGAGGATTCCAGGAGGGAGAGGGAGAGGTAGTTGGAGAAGTAGGGGAAGACGGGGAGGTGGGGGAGAAGGGAGGAGGAGGTGAGGGAGAGTTGGAGGAGGATGGAGGAGTAATGGAGTTCGAGGAAGGATTCAGCTGAGCTGCAGAGGGAGATGAGGTGGGAACGCATGGAGAGAGTGGAGGGAGAGAGGGAGGAGAGGGAAAGGGAAGGGTAGGAAGGGATGCAGGTGGAGACTAGAGAAGAGAAGATGGAGTTAACTTGAGGGGAAGGATGGAGGGAAGGGAGATTAGAAATGGTGTTGTAGAGTTGTGTTATGATGGTGATGAGCTTTTCTTCTTCTTCTTCTCCTCCTTGTGGTTTTGGATCTTTGGTGCTTTGGGTTTGGGAGAGAAGGAGGCGGTGGTGGTGGAGCTTGGTGGCGATGACCATGGTGGTGTGGTTGGGTTTGGAGAAGGAGAAGTGTTTGAGCTCTGATGGGAGGAGAGGTGAAGGAGCAGGATGAGGAAGTGTGGGATGTATTGGTGTATATATAGTGTTAGGGGAGCAATGGTGGTGAGGAGAAAGTCAAATGGAATATTTTATGGACCATGTTGTTTTTTGAAAATACAAATTTTAATTAAAAATAAAGAATAAAATTTTATTTATTATTTAAAAAAGTAATATTTGGTTGATTTATAAAAATATAATTTGTTGGGATGTGCATATTTTATTATTATTATTATTTTGATCTTATGCTAAAATTTTAAATAAATCAAATAATTTTCTTCATAAAATTAAATATATTTATTTTATTTATGTCGTGGATATATCTATATGGCCTGTATTGTATTTGAGTGCCCTCAGTGGAATTTTGATCAAGATGTAGCATTAACGATTGCTTTTGGTGAAGGTGGAAAGCATTTCTTTATCATCTTCTTTTTTAAGTGAAAAAAAAAAAGCATTCTATATTATAAATCTGCATATGAGGCCAAATATGTAACAACATATCAACCTCTATACTTTACACTTATAAATTAAAAAATAATAATAAATCAAAGATGGTCATTGTTTTGACTTATTTTACAATCTCATACTGTGGTAGATCAATAACTAGTCTCTTATGGTTATATTTTTTGTACTCAATTATAGATTGTTAAATAATATATTTTACACAACTCGTATTTGAATTGTATGTACATTATATGTATGATCCCACATTAGTTATTTGAGAAAAAAATTATTAAATATGCTTTGGTGGGTATAATTTCTTATTATAACTATTAGTCTCCAATAGATAATCAACTTGACGTTGTATGAAATGTTTTCCAATCATTTATGTCTGGTCTGGAGCGCAACAACATTAGAAATTGTCGTCACAGCATTGAAATTTCTATTGTACAATGATTCTCGATTAAGCATGTAGCTCAACGGCTTTGGCTTACTCGGTTGCTACGGTGGCTTGAAATAACACACATTTTGTGTTTAAATAAATCAAAATCTATCACTCACTCTTCCCTCCCTCACCTCAGTTGTGACTTGCCATGGAAGGAAAGAACATAAGGGGTAGGAAGGAGGAGAAAGGAAAGAGCAAGAAGGGTTTTTAGTTGATGGTTCGCTTCGTCGCTTTAAAAAAATTACTCATATCATTGTAGGTGACTTCTCTCATATTTTTGTTTTCAAAAATTTGGATTTCGACAGTTGGATTTCTCCCAAAATAATTTTAATTGCATTTTTTTAATTAATGAACTTCTATCGCATAACTTTTTATATGTTGTTGTAGTACAATTGGTTTAGCCACCAGAAACTTGGATACCGGACAACTGATTGACGCCGCCGGAAATCCCTTATAACCGCTGGTATTTACCGACGTTAGTTCAACGACATGCCGGTGGCTACAACTGCTGGCAAATCCTTCGGTTATGACTGTCAGTTAGCTGCTGGTACGATTTCCAGTGGTCTACCGCGGTCGAATAACAGTATTTTTACTGGCGGTCGGACGGCCGGAAAGCCGCTGCAAAACACCGGCGATAACCGACGGTATAAACCGCCTGAACACCATCGGTGAAACAAACCGCCGGAAAAACACCGCCGGTAACAATTTCTGACGCCATTTTTCCCGGCGGTGTGAAAACTGCCGAAAAGCCGCCGGTGTTTTTCAGAACTGCCGAAAAACATGAGTAAACTGCCGGCAAAAACCGCTGGTAATGAGTAAATTTTTTGTAGTGGGTGAGATTAGCTCACTAGCCATTCACTGAATTGGAAGCTTTCTTTTTTCATTCAAAATCACAATCAATCTAAGATCGATGATCAACATTCTTTCTTCAGGCATGACCATCCAGATAAAGTCGTTCAAATGTATCTTTGTGTGTGTATGCGTGTGTGTATTATTTTTTTAATCTGGTTTAAAAGGCGGTGTTTGAGTTATGTAGGGTGGGTTGATCTAAAAACCAAAATGACCCATTTAATAAATTGGTTAGATGAATTGTTTTTAGGTTACTTTCGTTTAAAGTTTGTCTTGAATCATATAATTTGTGTTCATGTTTGTAGTTCTCAAGTTTAGTTAAGTTTGAGTCAAAAAGTAACACAATCTATTAGCTTGAATCAATATATCTAAAGGACATTATTATTCATGCTTAATGAATTCTCATCAATATGATTCAAATTAAATTGCATGAGATCTTTTTAGCTCTCATATCATTATATTTGACTATGCCATGATTCGAGTCAACTTATCAATTATCTTTGATATAAGAATATTTCTCAGCCCTAATCTCATGGATATAGGCAAACATCTAATCATATAATTCAGGTTACAATCAACATTGATCTTAAAACAATCAATATAGATAATATCATTTGATTCATATCATATATGTTAGAATCGGAGGAGGAGAAGATGAACAGTAAAATGGAGGAAAAAGCTATATCGATTCATCCCATGCCTGTGGTATATAACAGAGATAAAAGTGCTCCCTGAGCATGTCAGATGACCGTTAGTGGTCATTGTCTAAAAGGTGGTGTGTGTATCATTACATGTGTAAAGGATCATGATGCATAAGTAAGTGGTTACTTAACATCCCCCCTCAAATTAACTATCTAGTTTACTAATAGTTAATTTGTTGCGGTGTGTAAGGAAACGAGAGGTGGATAGAGGCTTTGTTAAAATGTCAGCCGGCTGATCATCGGAGTTGATATGAGCGGCAACAATGGTGTTCTTCTGGATGTGATCACTAATAAAATGATGATCAATTTCTATATGCTTGGTTCTCGCGTGAAATACTGGATTGTGAGCGAGTGCAAGAGCTGAAATATTGTCACAGAATATTGTGGTTGGCTGCTCAAGAGGAATTTGAAAATCAAGTAGAAGACGGCGTAGCCAAAGAACATCAGATAGAGCCGAAGCAAGTGCTCTGTATTCTGCCTCCGTAGACGATTTAGCAACCGTGGTTTGCTTCTTCACACTCCACGAGATGAGATTGTTTCCCAAGAAGGTACAAAATCCAGAAATGGATTTGCGATCAGTGGTGTCCGACGCCCAATCGGCATCGCAATAGGTAGTAAGTTCCAAGGATCCTTTGGAAATTGGGAGACCAAGATGTTGAGTTCCACGGAGATAACGAAGAAGGCGTTTTAGTCTCATATAGTCATGCATTGTGGGATTATGCATAGTTTGGCAGATTGTGTTGGTCGCAAACGAAATATCTGGTCTGGTGATGGTTAGGTAGTGTAGCGAGCCTGCTAGTTGCCGGTAATGAGTTGGATTATTGTAAGGGGTAAGGTCCGGAGCAGTTCGACAACCAGAGGGAGATATCGGAGTGCTAGCTGACTTGCAGTCCTGCAATCCCGAAGCCAAAAGAATGTCACGGGCATAATGAGATTGGTGTAGAAAAGCACCTGTGGTTGTGTAATGGATTTGAATGCCAAGAAATAGACGAGGTTGTCCCAGTTGTTTTAACGCAAAAGAGAGCTGTAAGGCCTTGAGGAGTTGATCGAGCACTCGATGATTATTACCAGTCAAGAGAAGATCATCCACATAGATGAGAAGATATAGCTGGACATTGTTCCGGTTGTAAATGAGTAATGAAGGGTCAGCTTTGCTAAAATGAAAGCCAAAGTGGATAAGAAAACCGGTGAGCTTATGGAACCACTGTCGAGGAGATTGCTTGAGACCATAAATGGCTTTCCGAAGCTTACAGACATGAGTAGGATGATCTTTGTTTATGAAGCCAGGAGGCTGTTTCATGTAGACCTCCTCGTGAAGATCCCCATGGAGAAAGGCATTTGCTATATCAAATTGCAGCAAAGGCCAGTTGCGATGAATAGCGACAACCAGGAGAATTCTGACGGTAGGCATCTTAGCCACGGGGCTGAAAGTGTCCTTGTAGTTAATCCCATACTGTTGAGTATATCCTTGGGCTACTAATCTCGCCTTATATTTATCCACTGTCCCATCGGCATGAGTTTTGATTTTATAAAGCCACCGGCAGCCTATGATAGGAGCATTGATCGGCATAGGAACAAGTGTCCAAGTCTGTTGATCATGCAGAGCTTGCATTTCAACGGACATAGCATTTGCCCATTGTGGGATTTTGACAGCAACATGGTAGGAGGTAGGAACCGTGGACACGTTTGATACAGCAAGAAGATCAAACACCTTTTTGGGTTTGGAGTGGCCAGTTTTGGAACGCGTATCCATATGGTGAGAGGTAGCGGGAATGATTACAGTTGGTGGAGGTTCGTTTGGATGGACAGCAGGAGTTGGGATTGCAGGAGTTGGGAATGGAGACGAGATCAAATTGGAAGTGCTAATTTGAGGTGTAGGTGAAGGTGATGTATTAGAAGAAGATAGTGGTTGTAAAGTAGAAACTGGAGTGAGGAGCATTGGTGGAGTGAACGTGGAGGGGGAAGTTAGTTGATCTGGAACAGAGCGGGGAGGGTAAGGATGATGCTGTTCATGGAATTTAACATGTCGAGATATATAGAGTTTTTGAGTTTGATGATGATAACACCTGTAACCTTTGTGATGCGATGAGTAGCCAAGAAAGATACAAGGTAGAGACTTAGGGGCTAGTTTGTGAGGAGATTGATGTTGTAACCAAGGGAAGCACAAGCACCCGAAGGATTTTAGGTGATCATAGCTTGGAATTCGTCCATGTAGAAGGCTGAAAGGAATTTTAGCATTGAGAGCTGAAGTGGGTAGCCGATTGATCAGATAATTAGCGGTTTGAAGAGCCTCAGCCCAGAATTTATAAGGAAGATGAGCGGCGTGAAGAAGAGTGCGAGTGGTTTCAAGAAGGTGTCTGTGCTTCCTTTCGGATACACCATTTTGTTGGGGGGTATATGGACAGCTGAATTCATGATGTATCCCGTTAGAAGATAGGAAGTTTTCAAAAGATTGACTAGTATATTCACCACCAGCGTCGGTTCGGAATGTTTTTATTTGAGCATTGAATTGAGTTTTAGTCATGCTGAGAAATTGTTGAAATTTGGTGAAGGTTTCATTTTTAGTATGCATTAAATACA